GAACAAGGGGGACTTACAACAGATCCTCAAAATTGCAGTCACATATGCAAACACAGCAGTGACGTGCGGTGAACTTTATGGCTGGTGAGGCAAGCGGGCAAAAGCCACCATATGTATACTGGCCTATGTCTGCCAGCACCGGGGCTTCAGCGGGGCTTTTGGAAAGCCGCACCAGAGCTTTGGTGGGGCTTTCCAAAAGCCCCGCTGAAGCCCCGGTGCTGGCAGACATAGGCCAGTATACATATGGTGGCTTTTGCCCGCTTGCCTCACCAGCCATAAAGTTCACCGCACGTCACTGCTGTGTTTGCATATGTGACTGCAATTTTGAGGATCTGTTGTAAGTCCCCCTTGTTCAGCATCACTGTGATTTCGAACAGCTGCTAAAGAAGCTGTTGTAACTCAAGAACTGCCCTTACTGTATTGTTGCTTGTTGTTTATGCATGTTAAAGAAGGAAAAAACAAAAACAAACAGGAAAAGTTGAAGAAGCTGGGCTTGTGGCAAGATATATAAGAAACTGGGAATGTTTAATTCCCTGTAAGATGAGTGAACAGGGTGATATGATGTCACTCTTCAAATACTGAACTGAAAGGATATTAATCAGACGATGATCAAGACTTGCTTCCTACGCTTTGTATAGGAAGAAACTTGAAGATTATTTAATTCACATGATTTCGTTCATGATGAATTATAGATACATTTTGGGTTCAAATTACAATAAATGTTAATATCTTTGGGGGAAATATAGTAATTAGAGATGTAAATGTGATATCGAATTACGCCCCTAAAATTTGAAGTTTGACATTTTAGGAAAAACATTAGCATTCTTAAGTCCAAGGCTTAGCAAAGTGAATTATTTTATGTAGGTGAAAAAAATTGACACAATGTTTAGATTCAATATATGTGCTCTTCAGCAATTTTTGCAATGTCTTTAAAATGGAAATAGAACAATATGTTTCCATAAAATCTAGATCTAATAATAGGTTTAAATATTGAATTCATTTCATATTGCTATTACATGGGTTCCTTTTTCCTTCGTTTGTTTTCTCCTGTGTGTTTATTTTATTTGTTATAATATATGTTGTTTCTTTACGGTACTCTTGCTAATGTATTTTTTTGCTTACATAGTTCACTAATTTGAAAAAGATGTGTTACCTACTATTCAAGGAAGGATCAAGGGTGCTTTAATTTGGATCCTACATCAAGCAGAGGATTGGATTCAATGACTTAAAAGATCTCTTCCAAATCTATGACTCTGTGCCTAATGTTAACATCCTTAGTCATTTATTAAAAGAGTTTTCCTTAAATTTCATGCTGTGTTGCATAATAATAAACTGCTTATGGCACTTCTCTATATGCAATTTATGGACTCATTAATATAAATTCCAGTTATATAAGCCATAGGGCTTAACAGAGTACATAAATAGCCATAAATTAAACTTCTGGCAACATTGAATACATAGAAGCATTTCTGTCTAATGTTTTTTCTCCTCTTGAGCTGACTACAGGTAGCTCAATGTTGCTAGGAGACTTAATCATAAGAAGTATTGCATTAATGTCTCATTTCAGTTTTTAAAAAGACAGGAGCAACAGACAAGATAATGAATACATAATAACTAAAAATGTCAGAGTTACATAATTTAAAACCCTTGAACATTTTATGTTAAATGTCAGTGCACAGTAAGTTGTTCCTTAAAAACATAGACTTGACTGCAGGGATTGTTAATTAACTAAAAATACAGAAATAGTCAAGTATGGGCATCTGACAGAAATTGCAATGATGTTACACATGTCATGGTATTACTGCACAAATGATGCATACATCATTATGACACATTCTGTCACTTCCCCCTGCCTACCTGAATGGGGATGTCATAGTTTTGAGAAAAGGCATGTGTGTCAAGTAAAAAGTAGGGTACATGTTTTTATTTTGCTGTTAATTGAGTAGATATTTGTTTTAAGAAATTATTGCATTAAAATTTTTTGGTTGGAGCTATCTGTGTGTTATAGCATATCTATGTTATAGCATATCTATATGTGCGTTAGTGTATCTATGTGCATTATAGCATATCTATGTGTTATAGCATATCTGTGTGTTATAGCATAGCTTGACAAAAGTTATCTCCCAAATATTAGTTTTTCAGACTGCTACTATGATTAAAGCTCTTAGAGCAATATAATCCTATCTCTTTCCCCACAATCCTGAAGCGCGCGTACTCACACACATTGCACTACCTATTATGTTGAGTGTAGTAAATGTGATTGTAGGTAGAATTATAATACATGAATGTTATTATATACATTCTTAAAGTTTTACGGGACTTGATGCGGAAAAACAGACTCAGTGCAAGCAAGATAGAGAAGCTGTTTTTTAAAGGCTGAGGGGTTCTGGAAAGGTACCAATTACAGGTTGAAAGTGGGCTATATTCCATGGAAACAGCAAAGCTGCAATTTGGATTTTCCTAAACTTTTGGCCAGTGCAGTACTATGGAAGAGTGCAAGAGAGTGGTCCACCCTGGGTACAGACAATTAGGAGTTGCTTCTGAAAGTTATCAGTGGGTATGGAGTTAGGTTTCTGTTGTCCTTTCATAGATGCTCTTTTTGGTAGTGAGTCATACAATAGTAATGATGGAAGTAAAAAAATTGTCTATTTGAATCTGTTTTGACCACTGCAACCACCCTCTGCAGTTTTCTTGGCAGCCTTTTTTGGAAATGATGTGCCAATCCCTTCTTTCTGAAACTGAGAGAAATGACTGGGCCAAAGCTACCACCAGCTTTGTGGCTAAATCAGGACTAGAACTCACAATCTTTTGGTTTCTAGCCTGATGCCTTAACTATTACACCAAATTAGATTTCAACTATGGAGGAGGAAAATGTTAAAAAAATTATCTCCTTTAGATATCAAATATGCTACCTAAATCACTGCTTGTGGTTCTATAAGGTGCAGTGAATCAGGACCATTCACAAAGTGGCAGCATAGAAGATTCATTCAAGACTATAGATAAGATTATATTCAATTGAAGTTCATCACTAAATTGGTATTTGATAAGGGTCAACAGAATTCAAGGGGAGAAAGGGTTGGACTTGGATCTCTTGTAACCCAAAGACTCTAAACTGATGTGTTTAATTCCACCCTCCAGGTCCGTCTGCTTTTCTCCTACAGATTCCTGCTCAAAGAGCAAGTGAAAATTATGACAACTTTTGCCCAGCTTCAGCTGGTATGTGAGCTACAGACATTCTTTAAAATAGAAGCATACACAATAATCACTCATGCTCTCGTCACCTCACATCTGGACCAGTGGTGGGTTCCTACCAGTTCGTACCAGTTCAGCCAAACCAGTAGTGTTTGGGTCACTGGAACCGGCAGCAACCCAGGTCTGCCATGCCCCTGAACCGGTTCTCCAGGCGGTGCCATAGGCGTCGCCATCTTGTTTTTCGCTTCTGCGCATGCACAGGACAATTTTTATTGTACTGCATATGTGCACGCTGTCCGCATCAAGCATGCATGCTCGCACTGTGTCCATGAACAAACTGGCACCCACCCCTGATCTGCTCATTCTGGGATTATTCTTCAATAGCATACAAATGTTCAACTGTACACAAGTCTTACTGCTATATTACAATATTACTATAGGAGCTATAATTTTAAGTTAAATCTTGTTCTGATGTTCTAAGTGTCAGGGAATTTCTCCTTAGTTCTAGGTTGCTTCTGTCCTTGATTANAAATGGCGTAGGGCCCTCCCGTTTGAGCCGGGGGTTGGACTAGATGACCTCCCGAGGTCCCTTCCAACTCTTATTATCCTATATTCTGAGAAACGGGTTGGACTAGATGACCTCCCGAGGTCCCTTCCAACTCTTATTATCCTATATTCTGAGAAACGGGTTGGACTAGATGACCTCCGAGGTCCCTTCCAACTCTTATTATCCTATATTCTGAGAAACGGGTTGGACTAGCTGACCTCCCGAGGTCCCGGAGACAATGGTTGCCCCTAAGTGTTCCCGCTTCTCTCTCTCTCTCTCTCCCTGCGGCCACCAGACGGGAAGGAATACGATATTTACGTCTCGTACGCCAGGAATATGGAAGAAGAGGACTTCGTGCTGCTGACTCTCCGCGGCGTCTTGGAGAACGAATACGGCTATAAGCTCTGCATTTTCGACCGAGACAGCCTCCCTGGGGGAAGTGAGTATCCCCAAACCCATGCTCCTCTCTCCGGAGGGGGTCAGGCTGCAACTTGCCTCCCTCTCTGACCCCTGCGTGCACAGCTGTGGCTGATGGAGCCACAGGCAGAGGAGAAGCCCATTATCCCATTCCTTCCAAGAAGGGAATCGTTGGCTCTGCAAGGAAATCTGGTTAGAATGAAAGGAGTTTTTGTTTTGAGATGGCAGCTGTGGGCTCTTCCCCAAACAGAGGGGCTTTTCATCACTAGGGTCTTCCCCCCCCACAAAGCAGGAGAGCTGAGAACAGGAGGAGTTTTTGCAAAGATAGCTTAGGCCAAAGAAGGGGAAGAGGGGTGGGGGATTCAGTGCAAACTGTAGCTCTGCTTTTGGGGGGGGGGAATAAAGAATCGAGGAGACGGAGACTTAAACCCTAAAAAAGGCACAGCAATTTTTTTAAAAAAAGGGGGGGGAGTTTGACCTGGTCCCTAAGGAGAAAAAAAAAACGGGCATCTTAGCTGATGTTTGTATTCTGCATTACTGCCAATTTCTTCTTTCGGTTCCTGATTTATTCCTGGTCAGCCACAGATGCCAGAAGTTGGCCACATTTGTCTGAAAGTCGTGTTATTCAACCAAAGGAACTTTTAAGCTCCCTGAATTCCCCCACTCACCCGTGCCTGGGCATTTCCCCCCCCCTCCTCGTACCGCTTAGAGCAGAGAGATTGCAGAGGAAGGGATGAAAAGAGACTATACAGGACCCAATGGGGATGCGCCTCGAAAGGAATGCACTGGTGCCAGGGAATTCTGGGAGTTGAAGTCCACACATGTTGGGCTTAGGGATTCTGAGTTCACACACCTGCCGGCTGGGGAATGATGGATGTTGGAGTTCTCCCAACTTAAAGTCCCTAAAGTTGAAGAACTCTGACTTAAAGTATAGCGATTTCACTGTTGGGGGGGGGGGGGGCACTTTGCTTTAATTGCCCAACATACTTTTTCCAGTTTATGCTGCAGAGAAACAGCGGGGTTGAAGAAGGTGGATTGCTTCCGGTTCGGCCAAACTGGTAGCGGAATTGTGGCCTGGGTGGCAGAACCGGCAGCGACCCAGGCTCGCCACGCCCCCAAACCGGATCCCCTGGCGGCACCATAGTCTCTGCCATCTTGTTTTTATAATACTGCGCATGAGTGTGCAGCGCACATCAGGCGTGTGTGCACTGCATGACCATAAGCGAACCAGCATTAGCGGCTGAAGGAAGCCCCCCCCCCCCGGTCCAGATGTACAGATTCTCTGAGTTGGGGTGTTGTTCCCTACAGCTCTTATGCTCAGAGGGGCTCCAGGGGGTGCACTAAATGCAGAACTGCCAATCTTGAAGCCATGTTTCCCCAACTGTGGTCTAAAAACAACCTAGATTAAGAGCACAGGGTAGATTTGGGAATTCAAGAAAAGTTTCCCGAGCAGAAATCCATTGGGACACTGACTCCCATGGTTCCCAGCAGACAGACAGAGAGAGAGACAGACAGACAGAGAGAAAGAGAGAGAGATAAAAAGACAGACAGAGAGAAAGAGAGAGGGAGACAGACAGACAGAGAGAAAGAGAGAGAGATACAGAGAGAAAGAGAGAGGGAAAGAGAGAGAAAGAGAGAGAAAGAGAGAAAAAGACAGAGAGAGAAAGAGAGACAGACAGACACAGAGAGAGAGACAGAGAGAAAGAGACAGACAGACAGACAGAGAGAAAGAGAGAAAGAGACAGACAGACAGAGAGAAAGAGAGAGAGATACAGAGAGAAAGAGAGAGGGAAAGAGAGAAAGAGACAGACAGAGACAGAGAGAGAAAGAGAGAAAAAGAGAGAGAGAAAGTGAGACAGACAGACACAGAGAGAGAGACAGAGAGAAAGAGAGAGAGATACAGAGAGAGAGAGGGAAAGAGAGAAAGAGACAGACAGAGACAGAGAGAGAAAGAGAGAAAAAGACAGAGAGAGAGACAGAGACAGAGAGAGAGAAATTGAGACAGACAGACACAGAGAGAGAGAGACAGAGAGAGAGAAAGAAAGAGACAGATAGAGAGAAAGAGAAAGAGACAGAGAGAGACAGACAGACAGACAGAGAGAAAGAGTGAGAGGGAGAAAGAGAGAGACAGGGAGAAAGAGAGAGACAGACAGGGAGAAAGAGAGAGAGAGGGAGAGAGAAACATTTTTTACTTTTGCCTGAACCGCCACAAAAGTGGGAAGAAAGGGTTCAGCTGTTCCATGTGATCGTGGGAATCTTTCCCCCGCACTTTTTAAATCATTTTTTTGCTACCAATTCCAGCGAATAGGCAGGGAAAAAATGCTTTAAAAAAAAAAAGCTTCCGACGATTGCTGGGCTCACAGTTAAGTCGCTTGATCCTCAGAAGCTTTTTTTTTACTACCGGTTTGCAGAACCAACGAGAATCGTCCCAACCGGTTCGTGCGAACCGTTGCGAACCGGTAGTATTCCCCCCCCCCCTGAGTCTCCTGCCGAATCCTTGACCTCCTCCTTGCTCCCAGCGACGGGGAGATTCTCGCCCGCCGGTCCCTAATGTGCCTATTTTCTCTCTCAGTTGTCACGGATGAAACTCTGAGCTTCATCCACAGAAGCCGCCGCCTCTTGGTGGTCCTGAGCCCCAACTACGTCCTGCGGGGCACCCAGGCTTTGCTGGAGTTCAAGGCTGGCCTGGAGAACATGGCCTCCAAGGGCACCATCAAAGTGATCCTTGTCCAGTTCAAGCCCATCAAGAAGAGCAAAGTGAAGGAGCTCCGAAAAGCCAAGACGGCGCTGACCGTCATTAAGTGGAAAGGGGAGAAGTCCCGTTACCCCGCGGGGAGATTTTGGAAGGAGCTGCTGGTCGAATTGCCGGTGAAGAGCAGGACCAGGAACCTCTCTAGTCAACAGGATCTCATCACCCTTTCGCCAACAGGCGACTAAGGAAAGGGGAGGCCAAAGCCGGGCTCGGGAGGAGAGTGGCAGGCTTGGTCTGGGAAGTCTCTGGGAACCCATGTTCCACCTCTGGCGTGGTGTGGCCAAAGGCGCCCGCCTGAAATGTTTTTAAGGTGCCCCACTGCACTAGAAGCCGAGCTGTCCATTCTGCCTCCTGGAGATTGCCCAAACCCAGCTTGCAGGAGGCTGAGGCAAGGTGCGGGGTCTGGGACACCTGTGCAGTTGTAGTAAGGACGCACAACAGTGTCATTTGTTCCCCTTTCACACCTTCCTGGTGTCCCTCGAGTTCTTTCTCCAGAGACGGAAGAGCAGAAGGTCCACACGAAGGCTTTTTCATCCCCGTCCAAAGGGGTCCGTGGAGAAGAAGGCAGGGGCTCTCTTTCTTCGGAGCAGCCCCTTTTGCTCTCCAAAATTGCCCCCAAATGGCCGGAGCGGCCTTCCTCCACCTGAACTTTCCCAGGTGTGTCATTTTTTTCCGTTCCCACAACCGTCAGTTGCTGCAAACTTTGCCAAACAGACTTGTTTCAAACTCCGAGCTGGAGACAGGAAACCCTCGCTGGCTTTTGGCCTCCTTCAGCCAGAAACTCACAGTGGCATTTTGTGTGCTCGGTGTGCAGTGCGACGAGGAAAGTGTGGGGCAGCCCCTTTGCTGTCTGCACCAGCCTGTTGAGGAAGGGGAGACTTGGGGACTTCTGAACCCCCTCCTCCAATAATCCTAGAACTCATGTGGGTAACCACTAAGACTTTTTACTGGAGAGACTTAAGAGCAGTGAATGTTGAAAGATTCCCAAGCAGACAGTTGCAAGTCAAGCGGTGGGAATACAGGCGTAGTAGCATTAATAGTAAAGTCTTAGTAGTAAGTAGGGGGAGAGGAGGGGGAGGAGGAAAAGGAGGAGGAGTGGAATCTGGAATGTCACCTTTCTTCAACTCCTAGGATAAGATCTTCCTTCTTGTCATCAAGGCCAGGATATTTGACCAGTTATGGACGTGCTCCAGTGCACGAAATTGATCCCTTCTGAAACACATTGAATTGCTTTGTTTCATGATCAAGATCCCTTTGAGGACAGGAGAGGTGGCCTCTTCCCAAAGCAGCTCTTCTTGCTCTCCAAAGTTGTCCCACACAGGGCCAGAGAAGCCTGTTGGGAATGGAGAATGGGGTCTTGGCGGCAACTTCTACGTTCAACTTCTACATGGGGCACGGTGCCATTTTCCAGGGGTCGGTCAGTGTAAGGAAGGGCCAGTCCTGCTCACAAACTGGTCTCCTGAGCTCCAGGCCTGGTTGCACCCAAGCTTGATCAAGATTCAGAGGTTGCACTCAGGCGTGGTGGGCGGAAGATTTATCAGTAGCAAGGAGCAAGGAGGCCGGAAGGGCAAATCCCCTTGCAGAATGTCAAAAATTATTATTATTATTATTATTGTATTTTGTTCTGCCAACTCCTGGTCTCTGTATTATAGCATTACCAGGTTAGCTATGGGATGGCAGATCCAGACACTAGGGGTAGATGTGTGTGTGTGTGAGAGAGAGAGAGAGAGAGAGGAAGAAAGAGAGAGGGAGAGAAACAGAGAGAGAAAGAAAGAGAGAAAGAGAGGAAGAAAGAGAGAGAGAAAGAAACAGTGTGTGAGAGAAAGAGAGAAACACACAGAGAGAAAGAGAGAGAGAAAGAGAGAGTGTGTAAGAGAGTGAGAGGGAAAGGAATGGAGGGAGAGAGAGATAAATAGAGAGAGAGAAAGAAAAATAGAGACTGAGAGAGAAAGAGGGAGAGTAAGAAAGAGAGAGAAAGAGAGAGAAAAAGAGAGAGAGAGAGAGAGAGAAAAAGAGAGAGAGATATCACAACCCAAAGTGTTTATTTAATTCACGGGGGTCCCTATCAACGTAAACCCTCTCCTGTTTCCAGCCCCAAAGATGGTTGTGGGTGTGTGGTTGGTTAGAGGTGGAAGCCACACAGGAAATCCTGTGGATCCCATTCAGATGTGTAAATCAATGAGGATCCACAAGCTTTAGGCCTCTCCGACTCATCCACAACCATGGTGCTCTCCGAGTTTGCTGATTTTATTGCAAACGTTTCATGACCCAACTAGGTAATATCATCCGTGCTAGAAAGGAGAGAGGGTTGCAAGGAGGAGGAGGAGAACTGTGGGGTCCTTGGTGCTCTCTGAGCTGCGGGGGGGGGGGGTTTCCTTGCAGACGTTTCATGATCCAACTAGGGAACATCATCAGGGCTAGAAGGGAGGAGTCTAGTCTGCCAGTGTTGAGGGGGGTGCAGTTTCCCCCTTGGTAGATCCTTGGTGAGGTGTTGCTTTCTGCTTGACTGTTCCTCTGGTCTTATTCCCTGCTTATTCCTTGAAGATGTTACCTAGCTGGGTCACGAGACGTCTGCAAGGAAAACAAGCCCAGAGAACACTACAGTCCTCTCCCTCCATGTTTACACACAGCTTTTATTTATGGCAGTTTTTATTCGTTAGGAACCTGGGGAGGGGCTATTATTTCTCATCCTCCCCTCCCCATTTGAATGTGGCCTTTGCAATGAGCTTTATCATCCTGCCTTATTTATTCCTTTTTATTATTATTATTTGGTGCATAGATTGACACACAACCTATGTTTGCAAATCCTTCCCCACTCTCTCGGCCTTCCGAAAGTCTGGCTTTTCCGGCAGGCCTGGGGCTGTTGACCCTTGATTGAGTCCCAGCCCCACTAAGGTTGAGTGCATGTTGTATTCTTTTAACTTGCTCTCTCTTTGTATTCTAAAAAAATTTTTTTTAGTATTTTTAAAACAGTTTTTATGTAAGCCGCCCGGAGTCATTCGGGATTGGGTGGCATACAAATTCATTAAATCTTGAATCTTCCCAGTTAATGGCCAGAGGCCCTTTGGCGTGACGGGTGTGCAGAGGTTTAGAGAGGCGGCTCTTCCAGGGGTTCATTCCATGCTATCCAGCTGTCCAAAAGTCGAATCAACCACTTTAAAATCCCAGACTTGCCTTCATAAAAGAGACCTAACCGAGCTGTTAAAATTCTCTGGCTAATCTGACAGTACATTAACCTCCTGTCGCAGAATCTGCTCAGTTGGGCTGAGAGGCTGAGTCCTCGTCAAACAACCACACCAAGAGTTGTGCATTGTGCAAATGGTGGGAGCTGCGTCAGGCGGGAGGAGGGGAGGTTAGGAAGGGTGTGCGTGTGTGCCCCCCCCCCCCCAAGTCAAAGAGCCTCAGCCTTTCACCTGCAGCCACCATTTGGCCTTTTATCGAAATCATTGGCAGCCTCTGTTTTGGTCCGCATGGCATGGCATGAATTGTTAGGGCTTCCTTCTAGAATTTTAAGCCTTAACATTTTGGTTTTCTAATGTACTGTTTACATATATATCACTGCTTCCATTCTCTGTCTATCGGCTCGTCACAAGAGACCCTCCAGACAGAAAGCCCAATATTTTTACTGTTG